AATGGATCCAGGTTTGGGGGGTTTAAAAAGCCAGTCCGTGCTGTGGGGATCCAGTCCTGGTTTTAATGACCCAGAGTCGTGTTTTAACGAGCCTGTCCAGGCTGTTTTGATCCAGTCCGGGACGTAACTGCCCAGACCAGGCTGTTGTAATCCAGTCCTGGTTTTAATGGCCCAGTCTGAGTTGTAACGAACCAGCCTGTTCCACTTAGATCCAGTCCAAGTTTTAACACCCCAGCCCTGGTTTTTTGACCCAGTCCGGATGTTTCGGCTGCGCACCATGCCGTGAAGTGCCAGTCCGGGTTTTTGATCCAGTCCTTGTTTTGATCCAATCAGTGTTTTTATTCCAGTCCGGGTTTTGCAGCCGCACTCCTTCCTGCAGTGTGCCTGTCCGTGTTTTTAATCCAGTCTGGGTTTTGCGGCTCTCCCTTTGTCTCGGCGCCTGTTGAGGGAGCGGGCGCGCGGGGGGAAGTGGAAGTGGAGCTGGGGCTCGCGCCACCGAGTGTGGGGGAACGGAGCCGCGGCCGAGTCCGAGCCGAGAGCACCGCGCCCGTAAACCGGGGCCGTCCCTGAGCCGGGAGTGGTGGTGGCGGTGGTGGTGGGGGATTGAGGGTTGAGGCAGTGAGAGTGAAAGCCGGGGCCGATTTGTTGTTATGGCGGCCTGGGACCGGGAGCGCGGCTTCTCCAGTGAGGAGCTGTTGTCGCTGCGCTTCCCGCTGCACCGGGCCTGTAGGGACGGCGATACCGCGGTTCTCCGCACTCTCTTGGCCGCCTCCTCCCCCACCGACATTGGCGTCGAGGACAACTTCTACGGGTGGACCCCGCTCCACTGGGCCGCTCACTTCGGCAAGGTAAGGCCAGCCTAAGGGCCGCCGATGGAATCCAAAGGCGCGGCAGTGCATCCTGTAGGATCCGCTGTGACATAGAGGTGTTATATAAAATAGAGAATGTGTCAGGTAAGGATGGGAGGCTAGGTACGAATGACAAAAAAAAACAGCAATAAATACATAAATTTAAATCTCACAACGTAAATGCCCCAAAAAAATTGTAAAAAATCTGCACACTTGTCAACTTGCCCTAAAATACCTCACCCACTCCGTGCTTATTTTTCTATGTAAACATGTCACGCTGTAGTTACATTGTTCTGCCTGCAGGGGCACCACGGTACGTTTCCATTGTAAACGTGGACCTTGGATTAAATCGTGAAAATATACAATACAAAGGAGTTTAAATGTGGCTGTGAAACGAGGTCTGGACTGCGTTCCACGCACACATTGGTTCAATTAATTGCCATCCTCCTACCTTGTTTCACCTAAAAACCAGCATTGACTGCATCTGTCTCAGTAATAAGGCTCATAAAATACATTTGTGATGTATATGAATCTGGTGACAGGACATTACAGCTTTACAGTGTGACAAGTTTACACAAGTAGCTTATTTTAAAAATCCAAAGATATCAATTTAACATGGATGAGTTGACAAGTGTTTACAGATGCAAGTTTCTAAAATACCTAATTGGGTATGTGTCAGATTTCCTTGATGTAAAATGTGTAGACTACTACAAACTGCATAATATGGAAAAAGTAAAACTATAGGGAGTGTGTGTCAGTAACCTTGGTGTTAAGGCAGGATGCACAACTATAGGTCACATTGATGTAAAATAAAATTGCTAGCAAAATATTTTGAATCAATGAATTAAATGGGTAGTTAGATATGTAGACTTAAGTTATCAAAACTAAATATTTTCAAATTTTGAATCCAATTGCATTTTATGTCAACTTTTCTATTAATTCGTGTGTCCATATTTTCGGTGGAAACTTCTTTATGTGAACACGTCATATTGCAATTATATATTCTTGGTGGTAGCACTACAGTGCATCCCTGGCAGTGGGGTAACCAGCATGACAAGTTTGCACAGGTAGTTTCCATTATAAATGTGGAACAGCAATTTCTGATTCAAATATAGAAACGTCTGACTTCAAAACAGGAAACAGCAACATGTGCCGCCTCCACTATAACCACTGACTTGACTTGCACAATAATCCTGCCCCCAACTTCATATTAATTGCCCATCTGATCCCCATGTGTAAGTAGCACATGAAATATCATGCATATGACTTAACCTGGACCTAAATATACAAATATGAAAATACGAATTCCACATTTATATGTAATATATAAAGGAATAGTTCACTGCCTAAAATAACCTGACTGACCAAATTATATCTCTCATTATAAGTGCCACCCTGATTTTAAAACAAAGTGCCTTGTCCATTGGAGAATAACTGAATTGACTTTGTTTTATTTGATGAATTTAGCTCCCCAAGTCAGAAAACCCAGCTGTAGGCTTTCTCATTCCATGGCATGAGTTCCAGCTGTTACCCTCATCACAACACAGCATTTGGCTCTTGAATATTGGACATCTGACCCAACAGGCAGTGCCGAATCGTCCCCAGTGATGAGTTAATTTTGTGTTCTGTTACTCTTACTTTACAAACAAAAGTATATGAAGCCATTGCCCTGGAAATAAATAGTTATGCCCTCCTCCCTGGGCTATTCCCAAACACCCCTGCCCGCACCAATTCCCAAACATGCTCACAGCTATGGGAACCCCCAGCAACAGGGACATTGAGCACCACTTCCCTTTTCAAACCCTCAGGATCAGCACATTGATTGAAGTGAAATGTCCAGGAATCAGCAGTCTCCAGGGATTTGGGTGCTGAGCAAACTGCAGTTGCCAGTGATCCAAGATTAAGTATATTCCACTCAGAAGAAATATTGTCACCAAAGCCATTAAGTTTAATGGAGAGATTTATGTTTAGTACTTACCATAATGAAGGCAGGGCAAACTGCACGCATTCAGAAGTGGCAAAAGAAAACTAGAGTATTGAGCTGATAGAAATTGGCAAATCAGCAGACAGGCAGTCTACAACCTGCATGCTGTGAATTCCATGGGATCATCCCCTTATGATCACCTGGGAACTATACAGTCAGAAAACCATGTTTGCCAGGGATCAACTAACTAGCTGTTGCCAGGGCTTCAGCCACTGAGCAGACTGCAGTTCCCGTGGTTCCAGAATGATAGATGTCTTGTCAGCAGACTGTTTAATATTAAGGAATGGACTCAGTTAGTACTACCCATGAAACAGATACATCTAATTGTAAGCGTCACAATAGTGGATAGTAAAGACGATGAGATAATAGGAGTAAGCACATAGGTAAACACCGTTTCTCCACACAGCACACAGGCATCTTGCACAAATATGCCAGAGTTGTGTAGTTTGTCAAATTCCTATGGAGCCCTCAGTGAAAAAGTACATTTCACTTTCTTCCCACTTAAAAAGACCGAACTATTTACATTTTCTTATAAATTCTCAAATAGACATCCAGCAAGCGAAGAGCCGTGTTAATCCAAGTATCTGAACATTCTAATTTAGGCCCTTTTTAAAGAAAGAACAAGATATGTGCTTTTTTTTTTAAACAAAAAGCAAAATACTTCGAATAGTAAATCTGAAATAAGAATACAAAAGCCTGGAAAAACTCAGCCAACCAGGCAGCATCTACAGAGAGAAACATTTTGGGTCAACTACATTTTATCAGACCTGAGTTGTGATGAAAGGTCATAGACCTAAAACGTTAAGATTAGTGCTGTTTCCTTTCACTTCCCCAGGCCTCAGTGCAATCTGATGTGATTGAGTTTACTGAGAAGAATGTACCAGAAATTCTAACTAGAATACACATTAAACACACTCCTACCTAATCTACACATTGCTTTCATTGAGGTCAGGAGGAATGCCTCCAAACTGACAAGACTCTGTATTAAGTGCTGCCCTTCCTAATTCACTTTGTTCCTGTATATTGTTTTAGGTACGCTCTAACCTTTTCTTTGTACAAATTGTTGTGAAGATTATTAGGTACTGGATCGCAGTGCTTGAAAGTACAGGTTGATTGGTTGATTACAGCTTTGAAATTTGATTGATACGCTGCGAGGCGGGCCATCAGAAGCACTGGAGCATTCATTCTCTGCTGCTGGCCAGCTCCAAGACAACCGTTTGTACAGAGGTAACATCAATTTAAAGCTAGAAACTGCAAGGAAAGGAAGGAACAATGTTTTCACCCAGTACGTTCAAAACAAAAAACCTTGTGTTTTCACTGAACATAAGAAAGTGCTAAGTTAATACTGTGGTGTTTCATACGAGCATATGATACATTTCTGGGTACCCCACCCCCCCAAGATAGGAGGGAAATGAAACTGATGGGAAAGTTGCATTCTAGATTCACTGGAACCTTCCACAAGAATGAGAGGGTCTGAAGGTTAATTGGTTCCAATTAAACTTTTCTTTGAGCCAACTGAGATGTTTGAGGGAGGTTTTCAAGGATACAGACAAGCAAATACTGATTCATTCTTGATGAAACCCTAATAATGGAACACAAACTGAGGCTAATCACAGAGAACTTTTAAGAGGCGTTTCAAGCAGTATATTTGCACATAGAACATAGTATTCTGTACTGCAAAGTATGATTATTTCAAGGGAAATCTGATACACATGGAAATATCTTGGATGTGTAGTGAGTATGCTGGACAGTTGACCAGAAAAATAGCTGAGGGGAAACAACGTGGCAGGCTCAATAAGCCAAGTGGCCTGCAGATCATTGAAACAATCTGACTTCACTCCGGATTTTTTCTGCCAAGTATAAAACTGAATTCTCTTGGTACGGTGATTTATGCCTTAGAGAAACGCTTCTTTTCTCCCTAAGCCTGATGAATTAACATCACACGACAACCTGTCCTGTAGCCTGTCACCAGGCTGTAACAGAGAAACTGGAAGTATTAATGGTGTTGTCCAGTGTCATAGCATTTGCTATTGTTTCTGATTGCAACCTTTTGGCATTCACGCATTCCTTTCTGGTCTGCAGATTTCAATAATTAAACAGCATCAAATCAGGGTGATTATGTTGAAATATTTACCCAGCTGTAGAGTTCTGACATTTCCTGAGTGGTGTTCTTAAACACGATGGTGGCAGAATACGATTCTCCAGCCGGAGCTCCTCTGCTCCGCCTGCTCCATTTCTTTACCTTTTGTCTCTTGTTTATTTCTCCCCCCCTCCCCCTTTTCTGCTCTTTTTTCAACTTCTGACTTGGACTTACCCGGAGGGAAATTGAAGAGCTGATGAGCCCCGGAGCGGAGGCTGGCGCTGGGAGGTGAGCCCTGGAAAAAACTTGCCTTCGAGCAGCTGGGAGCCGGTGCAAAGCAGACTTGAGGCTTGGAACGGAGCGAGGATGGTTGTTGGACTGGGGTCTGGCATGGGCAGTCAGACCTCGTGTGGAAGCACCTGCACTGCACTACTGCAGTGTAATATTTATTTGTAGTTTGCTTATCTGCCTGTAATGTCTATCCTTTTCAACTGTCATATTTTTAACATATACTGCGAATCACTGTAATGCAACTACATTTTTTAAATTCCTCTTTTGTTTATAAGATTTGTACCTGGGTACATTGTACCTAAGATGGTACCATAAGAGGTGATATGGTAAAACTTTTCACTGTACTCCTGTACTTTTGTACTTGAGTACACATGACAATAAAGGATATTCTATTCTATTCTATTCTATTCTATTCTATTCTATTCTATTCTAAACTTGCTGCTTAAAACTGGGTGCAAAGATATATCAGCTTCCCTCTTCCCTCTTCCCTCTCCCCACTGTAACTGCAAAAGTTTGGATTGGCAAAATGGTATGGTGTATGCATTTGGGAGTAAATGTTAATGGTTGATGTGGAAAGGGGAAATACTGGAGCTTTATCTTACCTTCCTCCCCCACGCTTAACCAAAAAGGAGTGTATTTTCGAAA